GCCACCAGGGAGGGCCAGTCCCTGGTTCTTTACCACATGACAGTTCTAGTATGCAAGCACAGATTCCTTCATACCCAGTTCATTCTACAAACACCCCTCCCCCTCCCACAGCCCACTAGTCTAGAGATGGCTGGGAAGGTTTTTTTTTTTAGATCAGATTAACATTTAAGTCAATAGACAGAGTAAAACAGATTCTTCTCTGTAAGGTGGGTAGGCCTCATCCCCAAAGATCTTAGGAGAAAAGGACGGACTCCCGTGGAGGGGGAGTTGTTTCCAGTCTGCCCTTGGACTTGAGCAATGTTAGCTCTTCCCAGAGTCTCCAGCCTGCTGACCTACACTGCAGATTTCAGACTTGTCAGCAGTGACAAGCGAGTGGGACAGTCGACTCCTTAGAATAAGTCTTTGTGTACTGTCAGCTTGGTTCTGTTTCCCTGGGGAAATCTTGACTAATACAGAGGAGTGATGGATTGGTTCATAAAGCCTGGCTCTGTGATTGACAGCTGTCTTCTAGGAGAGCTAGCCATGGACCATAAATAGTGACCAATATATTTTGGTCTCTTTGAAAAGGATAACAACCACAGAAAGGCACATTTTTAAACAATGCTCAAAAACAATGTCTGTGTACATGTATGTGTAACTTTTCTTTAAAGAGACAGAAATTTCTGGATAAAACTGTTCCCTCTTAGTGTCATTTTGACTTCCTATATTTAGAATTTTTATTCCACACAGAAGGTCTTTAACTACATTAACTAAGTTGGATGAAGCAGATGAGCAGAAAGTTAACACTTACAAAGCAGTGAGATTTTTGTACAGTGTATCATGTGATATAGGCAACTTAGACAAAAAAGAAATGGCCCTTTTGGGGGCCTGGCCAGAATCCTAATCAGGCTGCAAGCCTTGGAGAAGTTGAGTGCCTAAAATCACTGAACATACACTTCTGCCAAAGGAGCTGGCAGTTCTTGGCTTGCTTTACGGAAACAGATTTCATGAAATAATTGGTGTTGTCTATTTTAGGTAATGGAGTTATTACTGGATGGAGTTTGCTGTGAGCACAAGACTTTACTGAAAGTTTTTAATGCAATTGGGTTTCCTGAGAAGCAAACACCAAAAATTGAACTTGGGTAAAATGGACATTGCTATTTTCACTTCAAAATCATGCAAAATATACATTATTATGATTTAAATATGTAGATCATACAAACCTATAGATCAACTACATATAAGTAATAATTATAAATATCTGAGAATATACTTTACTAGTATGTAAGTTAACATTAGAGGTTTCAATCCTGGGCCCACTGGGGCTATAGGCCCCGGTTTGCTCAGGACAGCTCCGGGGCATGCTGGCTCCGTGTAATCATCGTAGCAGCCTCTTTACTCTCAAAATGTGCCCATGTGGATGATAAATGTGGTCACGCTACGCATTGGCCAAAAAGCAGCTTACCATAATTTTAATAAGTGAATTGAAGCCTTCAGCTGGAATTTATTGATTTTTCTAAGGTTTATTTATTTACACATATAAGAACAGGGGTACAGGCCAGAGGAGCAGGGGGGTGAGAGCCTTCATCAGAGATACAGTGGGGAGCAGAACAGGAGGACTAACAGAAATACGCTGCTGAGGGGAGCAGTGGGCAAGACAGGAGAGGTCTGCTGCGCCATGAGTGTCACCCCTGGCCTGGCTGGGGACTGACTGCAGTGGTGTGTACAGCTCCATAGTCCTGAGACTTAATTCCTTGTGCCTCCAGGGAGGCTCCCTCAGCTGGAATTTAAATGTTCAGTTTAAACTTTAGGGAGGAAATGAAGCCTAAGCAAAGGGTTTGGTGGAATGCAAAATATATTAATAACGTATTTTATTTATCAATGTTTGGATCACGCTGATGTCAACATTCTTGTATTAGAGCAAGCTTCATTATTTTCCATAGTAGAATTCTGACTGGACATATGAGCTTTAAAACTATGACTTCTGGCCCTCCCTGGTGGGTTAAAGCACAGCACTAAGAAGCTAAACCCACTTCAGCGTGAGTTTGATCCCTGCCCCGGAGGAGACCCACATGGCGCGGCAGACCTCTCCTGACCTGCCCGCTGCTCCCCTCAGCAGTGTATTTTGTCAGTCGACCTGTTCTGCTCCCCACTCTGTCTCTGGTGAATCCTCTCACCACCCCTGAGGCTCTGGCCCGTACTCCAGTTCTGTATGCAAAAACAAATAAATCTTTAAAAAACAAAACAAAACAAAACAAAACTATGACTTCCAACATCATATTGCCCTGTGGCCTAGGGGTCAGCAGCACCGAGATACGAGTCTTTTACAG